CTGTAAAAAAAAAAAAAAAAATATATATATATATATATATATATATATATATATATATATATATATATATATATATATATATATATTCAGCAGAGATGTATGTGACAGGCTCCTGCAATAATAAATAGCTACCACCAGGTTTGAATCACATGTATGAATATTAAACAAGGATGAATTTAAAATAGGTGATAAATCTGAATGCATTATGCAGACACCCAGCACACTTAGCATGACTTTCTGCTGATTCAAAACCTGGTGCATGTTTGTGACCACAAATCTAAACAATTCATAAAAAAAAAAATACTTGAAAGTACTTGATAGGACAGGATAAAACGGGGGGTAGAAATTGACAAAAAGGCGAGAACATCTGGAACCGATGAAGGGAACGGGTGGGCAGGTGGTTCACAGATACCAAAGAATTTCATATTAAAGCTGTAGGAGGCTTAGTGCTTTAATTTACACAAATGTGCCTTAAAAAATGAAACAAAAAATTGTGAGCGCAGTTGGTAACTGATGCCTTCCAGCGAGAAGGTTGTGGGTTTGAATCCCGCTCTAAAATCTTCTGCCTGTTGTGTCAGTCGGCCTACCATTGCATTAAAACACAGGGAGACTTGTACGTTGTCTCTGCAAGCAGTCCAGACTGTAGTTTTTGCAATATTTACAACTTCTCATTTGACGTAATAAGCCTTGTAATTACTACCAAACTGCACTTATGCTGACAGAAACAAGAGGCCTCTAAAATGCAGTGATCACACTGAAGGAACCAGTAGAAATATAATGTGACACTTCAAGCAGCGCGCACACTGTGAACGCTGCAGAATGCACGTTTGTACTCAGGACAAGGCTGTCACTACTTGACATGCGAATCTTTTTTCTGACCTTCTTCTGACTGTCTCATCCAACCCTCACTGCCCTCTTCACAAAATCTCCCTGTTTCATTTTCTTTCCTCTCTCTAACTTTACTCTTTCCTCCATGTTTTCCTTTGCAGAACTCAGGGACTCAGCTCAAGATGCCAAAGTCGGTGGAAAGCCACACTCTCGGTTGGTAAAGCATGATGCTGCTCACTGCAACATTTCATGCGGATGCTTTGAAATCAATTTAAAGAGACGGATTTATCTGATTTGTTGGATTTATCTGACCGAAATCTGCTTTTTTACGACAAACATTTTTCTCATGTTTGTCCTCCTCGCTGCCAATAAACATGGACATATGTTTTTGCCTTATGCAACTGTTTGTCAAAGTAACCAGGTTTTCCTCCTGCAGAGTGTGTAGTAAGTGTGTGTGGGCTTAAAGGAGTGAATGATTAAACTGTGACTCGCTGTGTATGCAGTCCTCTTCCTATCTAGGTGACTGCCTTATCGAAGACCATTACCAAAGACTCGAATCCTGATAAAACCGTTTATTATTCTTCAACTTTTTATCGTTTTAATTTAATATTTACAAAAGCTTTGTGGTGCTTTTTGGACTTTTACTTGGCGACTGTAACGCAAATAGAAAAAAAAAAATGCCGTGAAGCTGTTTGATCTTCTCAATTTCTCTGTTGCTTTCTCATTCTATTTCAATTCAGTTTTCAATTCCAGCTGACGCTCATGCGAGTGCCTGTGTTTTGTCTTTCTTGTGCATCTTTACAATCCACATGCTGATACTAATATGAGACGGAGCTCACTGCAGAAACACTGATTTGTAAGTGTTCCAGAATTGGAGCCGGCTTTGGCAAAAGATGACTTGCTAACAAGAGGCAGCTGTTCTGAAAAAAAAAACAACACATGAACTCTTGTGTTATTCATATGTGCAAAGCTCAAAGTGAAATTGGGATATTTTGTTTCCTGATGGACTTCAAAGCTTTGAAGTTTGTTTGCGTAAATGTGTCAAAGTGCCCCCAAATGGCCACTCATCGGGTCAGCACATGAGTGTGTCTTTTCCTTTATGTGCAGCATACAAAGACCGACCCAGATAAGAAGGAAATGTATTCAAACCTTTATTAATAAAATACAGATATAATTTGGAAGAAGAAAAAAGAAACGGAATATCAACAGTGACAAGATATTTTCCTTTAAATGCAATGACGATCAAAATAGCCAAACGCTTAAAATCTTGACTGCATGCGGCTTTTCAGCTACGACTTCTTCCTCTCTAAGTGGCATTTCAGCCCATGTTGCCACAAGACGTCTGTTTTTGTGATGCGCATAACTTCTTTGGGGCTCAGATCACATCTCTTCCTGATTGGACATTCCCATGTCGTTTCTACTTGCACATAAGTAATTGAACAGAAGAAAATGACGACTTCAGGCACGTTGACGGTGTGCTAACCAGATTTAAGGGGCACCACGAATCTCTCCCTCGTTGATTTCCTTGGATTTTTGGCTTCCAGTCACTATGAGTGAACTGATCAGAAGCTTGTAAGGTGGCGGCGTCATCTGGGAAATCCCAAATTTGTAAGAATGTAGCAACCTTCTAGCTCAACTGCACTGTTGTAATTTATTGCAGTCATGTGTGAAATGTAAATGCTTTTCTACATGGAACATGGAACTGCCTCAAAAGTGAAACAGGAACAATTGTTTCATTTTATTATCTTTTTTATTAAGCAGAATAAAATCCTTCTAGCCGAGATTTATTACATCTAAATTCCATACGACAAATTTGCCATCGATTTAAGAATTGATTGTTTATTTTAAAATGTCTGTGTTGCAAACACCTAGTTCATCCACCACATAATCTAATCACAGTGTCTTTGAAGCTTGGTCAAATAAAGCCATTACTTGGCAGCAGGCAAACGCTGCCTCTTGCTCTTCCTCGCAGTCAAACACACAGATAAGGGAGGTAATTTGCGAACAAGGTTGGGGGTTGTTTTTGCAATTGCTGGGTCAATGGTCATCGCTTTCCACACGCACACACTTTGTGCACACGCCACTATTCTCTCCTGCAGGCAGCGGTGAACGTTGTCTGTGTGATGAAAGGTTTGCAGATTCCACACACTTTGTTTCTCTGTTGTTTTTGCATTTTTCTTCTCCTCTTACATGACACTCTGAGCCAAACATGGATGTAAGAGAAGAGCTTGTGATCAAAGGAAAGAATTTTATTTATTTTATTTTTTTAAATCTTTTATATGCAATTGTGTGACAGATTTTTGACGTTTTCCCATTCCCGGATGCATTCTTTGAAGCCAAGGAATTTCTTAATAAATAAAGGGCTTTAGCTATCTTCCCCCCAAAAAAATCTGTTCCTGGCAGTGGAAAAACTTATCTGAAAATAGTGTGTGTATAATCCACAGATCTAAATAATGTTGGTAGCGACTGTGCTGGAACATTCTTTTAAAATCCTGGATGCAGCATTACAACAGATTCAGTGGCCAGTGTCAGTTGTGTTTATTTTATGCATTTTTCTTGCCATTTTTATGTGTCATTGCTAGATTTTTTTGGGAAAAATAACCATGTCTGTTTGCACTTTGGTCCAAAGCACCAAAAAACTTAACCTAACAGCGGAGTTAAGAAACACAAAAGCACTGCTAAGTTTCAGGAGTATTTCCAGGTGAAAGGAATTTCCTCTTGTTGGTATGAGCCTGGAAAATCACACAATTCAACCACTTCTTCACAGTGGCTTTTCTTTGAGTTCTCCTCCAACCACTGTAACAACAACAAAAAGAAAAAAAAACAACTAATTTCCTTTGCTTGTTTCTTTGATTTTGTTGTTTTGATCTTGACCTTTCTCCCATAACCAAAACCAGAGGCGACCCAGGTCGCTGCCTATGCCCTCCAAACCAACAGGGGGAACCCAAGAGCACTATAATCATACCACAACTCAGGTGAACAAATTGTAAAGTTTTTGTACAAGTGATACATTAAGGTGCAAATCTACTGCTCTAATCCATGTTGAGTCTTGAGTTGATTTTTTCCTAAAATATCAAAATCATGTTGCGGTGCATTTGGGCTACATTAACTTCTTGGCTTTAGAACAGGGGTGTCAACATCCAGTCCTTGAGGGCCAGTGTCCTGCAACCTTTAGATGTGCCTCTGCTGCACCACACCTGAATAGAATAATAGGTGAATAGCAAAGCTCTGGAGAACAAGGAGGAGGTACTTAAGCCATTTCATTCCTGTGTTTTGTACCTGTGGCACATGGAAAAACTGCAGGACAGTGGCCCTCGAGGACTGGAGTTTGACACCCCTGCTTTAGAAGCTGCAATAGAATTTCCGATAGAATAAATAGTTAGTATTTATATTTCATGTAATAAAATGCTGTGCCTCATCAAACACCAATATCCCCAGCAGCGTCGTTTTTACCCCGCTTAAAAACTACAATTACAGCTCTGAGTGGCATCTCTGTCAAGCAGGCTGCAGGCTGGCTCCATGAGCATGTAGCCCGACTAATTAATTGGGTTATACCATTTAAATTGTTTTATTTTATATATATATATATATATATATATATATATATATATATATATATATATATATATATATATATATATAATTCGAATGACAAAGATGTGCTACAAATAAATTACTAAATTAATAAATTACTCTGCTACAAAATATTTTAGCTGAAATAAAATAAAAGCAGTATATTCACGGGATTTTGCTGTCACATTTCTATGTCAATCCTGCAAAACCGTGCTGTTTTTTTTTTTGTTGTTTTTTTGTCGCCAAGACAAAGCGTCATTCTGTGTCATTTGTATTTTATTTTGCTGTGGTCATTTCGTGTTTCTTGCTCAAAAAGTAGCTGCGGTTGAAAGATCAATCTGTTCGCCTTCGCAGTGTATTTGCATTCTTTCTCACTCGCTCTGTCTCTCGATACCATTTGGCTACTTTTAATTGTGTTTCACTTCTCAGTGAAGAGGAAGTGGTTATGTGTTTCCTGGCCCGTCTCCCCTCCTCCAGCAGAACACACACACACACACACACACACACACACACAGAGAGAGAGAGAGAGAGAGAGAGAGAGAGAGAGAGAGAGAGAGAGAGAGAGAGAGAGAGAGAGAGAGAGAGAGAGAGAGAGAGAGAGACCGGTGAGGTAAACGCAGATCTCAGAGGGGAAAGCCGAGCACAAGCGAATGAAGAAAATGGCGATCACGCAGGATGTATGCTTACCCTCGTAGATGCTGCAAACGCGTTGAATTTCTTTAGCCTTACAGTCGGCTTTCCTTTCCACTCTGTTGCACTTTATTCTTCAAAGAGGTGAGCTTACCTTTACGGTGTTTTATTTTGTGTATCTCTTTCTGTCGAGCTGGTTCACTGGGGGAGGAGGAGAAGGAGGAGGAGGAGTGCGAGGCAGGGAGACCCGCGTCGCTGTTGTTTAGTTAGCCTCGACTGTTTGAACGCAGCTAGCTCGTGTACTGGACGCATTTGTGTGGATGAATTAGTGCTTCTGCAGTTTACAAACGAAAGGTTGAGTTTTCATTCAGCGGATAGTGGAAATTAAACGGCCTGAGTAGCGTATTTACACCATGAGGCATCTTGAGGTTAACCTTGCGCCAACTAGTACTAGTTTAACCCCTGTTCGACATCTGTGCGAACATCACTCTCAAATAAGTTATTCGGTACATTGAAGCAACATTTCTTGCCGGTGTAGGATTTATATACAAGTAGAATATTGTTATTTAATTCCCATGTACTCTTTATTTCCCCCCAATTTATTTAATTTACGTCACTTACATTTGATACAACACCGGCTAGCCGCTTAGCAGCATTAGCTTCTAGCGTTAGCAGTAGCTAATTCGACGACGCAGTTACAGCGAGCTGCTGTTTGGCATTTATGCAACTTTTACTAGGAACACGGCTGTGCAACTATAAAGCAGAGCTCTTTTATTTAGCGTGTTTAAATGAGTTACACGTTTTTTTCGTGCTGAAATTAACTTGCATAGGATGTTTTGTTAAATATTTATTTTATATGTTTTAAATCCGCTCATTTAACGCCCCCTGTCGGTGCATTAGCGCCTTGCACCCTGTGCAGCCAATATCCCGACCCCCGCTCTGGTAGAGATGCAGCCATATTTAGCTGAAAACGCTCACTGATCAGACAGTGATCGTAAACGCAGCGACGCTATCGTGTACGTGCATCAGGACACTTCAATGTTCAGTGAAGGTTTCTGCATTTGAAAGCGGCGAATAAAGCCGAGGCTTGGGAGAAGCCATGTTGGTTAAGCTCTAACTCGGGCAACAGCTGAGATAATGGCCGATCAGGACCCGAGCTGCAACTTTGACCTACTCTCCCTGCATATTTTCATTTTCTCACTCACGCTGGCAGGCATTTAGCGGATCCTGGATGTGTGATTTCCTGCTATGCTGTTCAGCCTGAATTTCCTCATGTCTTGAACCATTTTTTTTTATGCTGAATTAATTGTTCACGTTTATAGACACTGAGATAATCTCTGTCATAATCTGACCAAACAAATTAGCATGTGTTTTTGATTACATTAGTTTAAGACAATAACAGTATATTAACACAAAAACTTAATGGCAAAGTTTTAGCTTGATGTAGCGTTGATTTGAATCTTTAAGCGAGTAATGTTTTATCATTTTTATTTATTTCAGAGATTTGGAATCGAAAGCTGTTGCCACCAAAGAAACTGAAGCATCTTAACAGGTCGGTGCACCATCATAAACATGCACACACGCACACATCCACATCAGTGTGTTAAGTTCTGCCAGTAAAGACCACAGTTGATTTTAAATCAGTAAATAAACGTAAATGTTTTTCATGAAATACATGGAGAAAATGAATAATCCTCAATGCTAACAGCTCACATATTATTAAAAATCTGCATTCAGTACATAATCAAACCAGGGTAGAATGAGTCGCCTCCTGTAGTTTGGGATCATTAGAGTAAAATAAGAACAGCAAAATGTTGACCAAAACTTTAAAAATTATAAAATGATGTTGTAAATTGTTTAAGAAATGCAACAAAATAAGAAAAAAACCCAGCACAGCTTGATTCCTATTCTTATTTTTATAAAGATCTGAATGTGTTTCAGTTTCTGTCTCAGGTGGAGAATAGATTAGCACATGTACACTTTAGTAATTGGCAAAAAACCCAAAAAACTTATTAGCGGTTTCTCTCTCTAGGTGATAAAGAACTTGTCTTTGTCGTGCAGAGCAGCGTGTGTTTGTCTGGGATGGGCAGCCCCTGCTTATGCTAGCACATGCAGTTCCGTTTGAATTGAATTGGTGGGTCTGGGTTGGTCCAAGCTGCTGGTGCTGAGTAAGCTTTGCTGGTTTTAAAATCGCTAAACGAGAAGCCAGAATCCCGATGTTTTGTGTGGAGGGGTGTTTGTGCAGCTCTTTGTGCTCCACACGCAGCCACACAATGAAGCTGTGGATCATCAACTCATTCAAAACTGAACAGTTTAGTCCCTCTTTTCTTTTTAAGTGACTACATTTCTCCAGGAAACTTCTGTGCTCTCACTTTTGTTTTTAGCATATTTGTGTTTTTTGTTTTTTTTAGTTCTTGGAGATTTGAGTACTCGGCTGTGTATATTGAAATAATACACAGACTGGAATCAGTGTTTTGGTTGTTAAGTAAACCCTGTAACGCAGGTTTGGTTGGTTGCCATTCTACTTTGTGTTTAATAGTTTCCCAGCACTGGAACATTTTTTCCAGCTGAAAGTGTTATAAAGACATAATAATGGGAGACAGTGCTATTAATACTCCAGGGTACTAAAACAGTTTATTACTTTTCTCAGGCTTGGATTATTATTCCCTGAGATCAGCTTGAAAAAGGTTTTGTCTTTGTACATTTTTAAATGTGTAAATACAATCAACAATAAAGACTAATATCAATCAAGCATTTTATACCTCCATAATTCATCGCTGTTGCATTTGTACAATGTATTTTATTGTTTTTAGCGTTGCTCTTAGATACTGTATGTAAACTTGATGTTTAATTTTTCTAACACTAGTTTCTTACCAGTTGTCTAATCCCCCCCCCCATTTCTATGGTTTTATATGATTTGTTTGCACAGAGTTGGCCTCTACTGGGAATAACAAAATAGTATAGTAACAAAAATATGAACAATTCTAAAAACCTCATTTTGAGTTTTCTTGCTTGGTTGCCATATTTTCTAGATTAGCTCATTATATTTTCTGTTCCATTTTTCTAAAAACCTCAATGAACCTCAAAGTTCACGCTGCCATGTTTATATTTTGATATTACGTCGTCATAAATTACCAAGATCAGCTGCTTTACTGCGTTTGTGGCTACGAGAATCAGATAGTTCATCATTGGCCCTCCAAGCAATAAACCACACCCAGGTGGTTGCGAGGGAGAAACAAGTCAGGCACAGAAACGGAGGGTTTGATGCAGTTAGTTGACCCATGCATGCTCAGACAGGATGTGAGCCACAGAAATGCAGTTTTGCATAAACAAGTTGTCAAGCTGTCTGGCTCTGCAGCGTCTTTATTTGAATCACCTTTGGGGAAAGTTACCGATGTTTTGGAAGGGCTTATTTTGTTGTTGTTCTGTTGCATTTTTAGATTTTATACAAAATATGCTCTTATTGGTACAAAAAACTAAGTTTCTTGAAATATTACTTTTTTTTTTTTTAATGAAAGGTCAAAACCTGTAATGTTTGCCCTCCTGCTCTTACATAGATTCATTATTAAGTCCTAAAAAAAATTCTATTTGCATATTTCTTTGGTATGGTAAATTTTAAATCAAACCTTGAAATCAAAAAATTTACTCATTGCTCCCCTGAAAGCCACAGTGTGGTTTCCTTCCCCCTTTCCCTTCATTTATTTATTTTTTTTAGTCTGTGGGATCATGTTGCCTTCCTTGGGTTACCTTGACCTGAAATGAACTGCTCTCGTTTTGGCTCCACTGAGCAGATACTGTTCAGCTCGTCTAGAAATGTCACATGTTGCTCTGCCATAAAAGCCTTCGGTGTTTTGCTGCTTGTGATAAGGGACAAAATATGCATCGTCCATTAGTGGAGTACGTCTGGCCGTGGAAGCCTCAGCTGTTTAGGCTCCGTGGGAATAAAAATGATGCAAATCGATGAAAATGATGTGCAAATTAGCCACGCGGCCACTCTGTGGTGTTTGTTTATCAGGGATTGGGCGCGCCTTTACCTGCATTTGCTTCGAAAGGTTTCAGGGCGCCGTGACTCCAGAGCTCAGTGGGATTGTAAGCGATTCCTGGCCCGGTTCATTTAGATTGGTGGAATAAACGAGTGATGAAGCCATGTGAAATTTTAAAGTAACAGATGCAAAAGTATAAAAAAAAACCCACAAATTTTGCTTTTAAAAGGAGCATATTTACTCATGATCTGTAATGTTCCATAGGGATCCATAGGGTTCCATTCATGTTCATAAAAGACACACACAGGTTTTGATTTAAGGGACAAAAGAATAGTTCTTTTTAGGGTCTTTTAGCAAACATAAATCAATTTAAGCACAGTTAGTTGCTGGGGTCTTAAATAATCTCCCCAATATGACCAAGTAATGAGACAAAATGCAAACTTTTTCCCATGTATAGTAGTATCATGCTTCTTTCGACTGTGCTTGTTGGGGGAAGGCTGATTGATGAGCCATTCATAAACATGCACTGCCTGTAATGTGTATGGATGCACTGCAGGGGTGTTCCCCTTTTGTTCTTGGGTGAAACCACCTACTGAAACTCTTCACTGTTGGAAGTAAATGGTTGGTGATTGTTCAGGTGGGGGTTGAAAACAGGGGGAGGGGGGGAGCCACATCTGGTTGGTCTCCAACTGATTAAGGGGGAAAAACCTGATTATTAAGAACATGTTGTCCAGAATTAAAGCTTCAGTGAGGATTATTGTTGCTTCACACCAAAGAGATTCCTGGTTGAGATCTTGGCAGGAGTAGCAATAACCTCCCACAACCACAAACAGACTCCCGGTTTTACAACTTTAAAAGCGTTGCGAGTAGTTTGTCTTTGCACCGACGTGGCGTATTTAACACTGCCCACATATTTCTGCAACCCTCTCCAAATAGCATCCATATTGTACGCTTTGTTTACGGTGGAGCAGTGCAAAGAGCTAATGAAGAATAATGCATCAACTGGCAGGCTACGAGAAGGCCGTGCATATTGGGTCAGCGCTGGTTCGCATTAACGGTGGCCATTTTTTTTTTATTTTGCAGTTCAGTTTTCAGGGCAGGACTATTAAAAAAAGAAAAACAACGAAGATGCTTTACGATTTTATAATCCGTTTATATATAGATACATTTTACACAATGTGTGGCTTTTATTTTCAATTAGCCGCTGTGCAGCTCTGCTAATTTAAACGAATGGCAAATAATAATTACTGTTGTGGTTTTGGTGTCTGAGTTGTTTTACTATCAGCGTGTGGGTGAAGCGAAGATAAGTGCTGAGCAGTAATCTCATTATCAGATTAGCCGGCAGCCTTCTCCTGCCGGCTAAATGGCACACCCACCCGAGCCAGAGAATCTAAACTCCATCGCTCTCAGAGGGGGAAACTGGACCTCATGGGCCACTTAATGGTAGAAGTCATTTGAGGTCAAAGTGCACTGACACAACTTACTCTCAGGTCCTCACTTCCCAACTTTTAGCTTGCGCGACCACTTGTAGCAACTACTTAAGTAAATGATTAAAAATGAAACGACAAAAATAAAAACAACAAATCTCCTTCGATGGAAGGCCCGAGGTGCTGGAGAGTAAGCGCCTTGTTAATGTCGTCTTCAGGGAACGCACCCAGAGAGGGAAGAACGGTGGATGGAAGAGCGGGAGAGACGGAGAGTTTGAAAAGGAAGGAATCCAGTGAGATAAAGGACTGGACAGAAGGTAAGATGAAATAAATAAAGTTGCGTTTTGTGCACCACGTCAAAGCCGTTTTACTGTTGTTTTTTTTTGTTTTTTTTGTTGTTTTGAACCACTGGGAGGTTGAACATTTCTGATTTTCACACACAATATTAGATATAGAAAGTATGTCCAAACATGTTAATGTTTCACAATCAAACTAACCTCTAAGTATCCCTTTTTTTTCTATTTATTTATTTTTCTTAACACCTTTTAGTCGCAGCACATTGTAATTGGTGGTGCAGTATTTCTGATCCAGTAGTGGAGTGTGTTTACTCAGACTGTGCTGCTGTACGTTGCCATGTCACACAGTAGTGTTTTCCATTTAGATTGCTCTTAGTTTCCACTGACTCGTCTACTGTTACAAGGCAAGCTGTCACTGCTACTTGGAGCAAGAAAACTTTCTCTGACCTTGAAGCGTTTTAATTCTTCTTGCTTTTCCATTTTTGGCACATACATGGTGCTATAATTCTTTTTTTTCTTTCTTTTACATTTAACATTTATCATTGTGATACAAAGTTTTACGTAGTAAATCTCGTTTTCCACATAGTCAGAATTGTGCTGTTGAAAGTTTTAGTTTTCCTTTTTCCCTGCCTGAAGACTGATCTGATCCTACTTCAGAACAAGCCGTTGGAAACCATATGTGCATGCATGCGCACACCTGTAGATGTTTAATGGACGGATGTTTTTCGGGGGATGGAGCAGATAAAAACAAGATTGTCCAGTTTGTGGAAATTGGCAAATATGTTTTTCATTCCTGTTCTCATTCAGTCTCAGATCGTGACGGTGTATCCACTCGCTTATTTGAGGCTTGACCACTGCAGAAACATTTGGTGAAATTTTAAATTGAACTTTTACATTCATAGGTTGAAATACTCTAACAATACACAGGAGTCCTGAATTTAAGTACTTGAAAATAAAATAAAAGGTTTATTTCAATTAATGCATTTTTGTAGAAGTTGGGAGGAAATCCACTCGGCCCCATGTTTAAAATATCTCAAGGAGAGAAAAACAAACATTAACACTGACTAATTTTAAACTTTTGGCCGAGCAGATAAAGCAGAAATGTGGGTGGGCAGGTTACTGTTAAATCAAATGGATGGCTGAATAATGAACAAACCAGCGGATGATGACTCATACCCGAAGACATGAAGCCTGTGTTTCTGCACACATTTCCCCTCATTTCACAGCCCTGTGTGGGTGCCTCTTGAAGCCCCCCACTCCCTCCTCCCACTGCCAAAGCCGCTGTGACAGCAGCAAACTACCACAAGTAGTCTTATCTGCCCCTGCACACGGCAAAACTACACATATAGGTGCATGCACGTCACGCTGTTTTGATACGAGTCGCAGCCCCATGTTTGCTTCTGTTCAGTCTCCCATTTTTATCTTTGGCAGATTGAAGAAAGTTGACATTTACTGAAAAATGGCGACGGTTTGCTTGCGTTTCTTTCATCTTGACGTATCATTTCATACAGAAAGGTATTTGCTTTGTAGAGGGAGACGTGCATGCTGCTCTTGATACTGATGTCATCTTGCTTGGACAAGCCCAAAGGAATGAGGAGTGGTGTCGAAGCATCGTCGTCATAACGAGAGCTGATTCAAGCGCTGGGAAATGCGTTTAGGCTGATTTTTTTTTTTTTTTTCTCAAGAATAACATTTTAAAATGTTAGATTACTCAAGAACTATAGATAATGGGGGGCGAGGGGTATTTTGGGTGTGCAGAATTTGTTTTGTTGCTGTGATGAGTAAAAGTTCATGAAACATAACAGATATTTTGAATATTCACAATTAAATTTAACTTTTTTGAGCAAGAATTGAATCGGCGTGTATTAAGCCTCAGCTGTTGGAATAACGTAATTTTTTCAGGTGTCTGGAAAACTCCATTTTGCAAATTTTTTCACACCACCTCCTTAAACTTTCCATCAGTGTCTAAAAATTACCCCCTACTGTTACAGTTTTATCATCAAACAATATTTTAATGAGTTGCTTTTCATGTATCTAAGGAAAGCTAAGCTAACTGGAAAATGAATTAGTACCACATTTCTTCTTCTTCAGAGCAAGTATTTTGTTTCAGAGTTTCTTCAACCAGCTATTCTTGGCTTGTTTCTGCCTCGGTGCCAATTTTCTTGGGCCAGAAAGTCAGAAGCTTCAAATAGGTCTGTTGCATAGTAACAGTTGGATAATTCAAATGGTTTTGATGATGGAGGGGGGAAGAAAAACGATGGATACATTAGCGGCATCAAGTTATCTGGAAATGCTTAAATATTTTCAATTTTAAAATATCAATAGCTATATAACAAAATGAATGAGTTCTAAAGAATAACAAGCAACTAATTGTTATTTTGAGCAAACAAATTTGGTCACATTGCTGAGACCATGGCGAAGAATAATTTCCAGTAATACATCACTCTGTTAAAGTTTAATATGGTTCAACACATCAGATTTTTTTGTTGTTTTCTTTTGTTTAGGTTCTCATAAAATTACTACTTAATTCGCCTCGTATTACAATTTTAATCTGATAATATTATAATTTTATTCTTGTAATTAACCAGTTGTAGCGAGGTCCTAATATTATGTTGCATAGTTGACCTGAATTCAAAGTCCAAATAAAAAGAAGATGTAAAACACTCTTGTCAAACAAGATGGCCGCCCTGGGTGTGCTGACATCACTCAGAACTATGGAAACCCAAGGAGTGCTTTGGTTAAAAAAAAAAAATCTGGATTTTCCCCAAATTAAATTTTGATGAATCGATACCATAATTACATTTGTTGCAACAATCTGTCCATTTGTAAGCGCCAGTCTTCCCCTCTTTTTTTTTTTACACATTTTATTTACCCTGACTTTTCAAAACAATGTTAAAAAAAAGGCAGCAATGCGCAATTGAAAACAGACTATTCTAAAATAATAATAATGATAAAATCAAGTCGTTATTTGAATCCAAAATTACCATTAAGACTGATTTCATAGCTCTTCTTTGTTGTGCATCTAATGGAGTTGTTACAGAGAAGCCTGTTTCGTTTTTAAATATTTCCTGTGAGTTGCACAGAGTCTCTTGGTTCTGATGACTCACCCAGAGTAACTAGCGAGTTACCGAAGATAAGATTTTGGCTCATGGTTATGTGTGGTTTGGTGGCATTGGTTATTGTTCACCACAGCGTATTTTACTGTATTTATGCAGCACTTATTGTATGCTGCAATTTCAAAAAATAAGTTTATCTTTGTTGCTCAAACAAGGTCGCGCTGTGTTGCATCTGCACACTCGGTGGTTGTCCACATGGGTTTGTTTGTTCTCTTATCGTGTTGGCTGGAGGACAGACTGGTTGCTATTTGAACTGGAAATGTATAAATAGGTCTGTGTGCTCCAAACAGGCAGAAAGAGCGAACACCCATTTTTTAACCTGTGGTCTAAAAAAAAAAAAAAAAGAGGCGAATATAGACGTGTCGTTCCAAACAATGGTCCTTTTATCCTGAAGCGACGTTTCTTTCTACAGCTGGCTTCAACACTGTGTCCTTTTTGTTTCTTGCTGTGTTCTGTGGGTTTTGTTCAATTGCAAATTGTTAGCGCTGAACAAGCTCGACTAAACAGCAGAAACCTTTCAACCTGACAGCTTTTTAGGCCTGGAGGATACGGTTACAATCAGCGATGTCCATAAAAATTCCCTCAAAAGATTTATTTGGACACTGTGTGACAACATTTTACTAACAAACATCTAAAAACTTAAAATAATGACTCAGACTCTCAAATATACACTTACTGATCGTGAGAATATTTTCATTCTGCTTTTTTCACTTATCGTTTGTATTGTGGTAACCTTATTCTTTTAAAATTTATTTGAAAAAATTTAGATAAATTGTTTTTATCCTCTTTTTTGATGGAAGAAGCTTGTTAATACATCTTTATTTTACCAAAATGTGCTGTATTTAGGGCTGCAACTTATGACTGTTTTAGTCAGCCTATGGCGAATAATAGATGGATCAGATAAAAAAAAAAAAATTGGCACATTAAGCCTTGGTACACATTAATAGAAATATCAAAATATAAAATATTAGAATGCAAAATGTTTATATGTATTTGTGTTGCTCTTTCAGAAAATTACCACATTTAGGAGTCTGTACTCCAGTTAACAATTAATCAATTACTTAATTGGATGAGGATTATTTCAGTAATAGATCAATTACAATTAATTCAATTAATCAATTCAGCGTTAATTGTATTTACATTGATTGTACCCTGAAGGACTGCAGATGAAAACTAGCCTGTATGGCTAACTCTGGCATATTATGCAATACATTGTCCTTTTTGAAAAAAATTACAACAATCCAATTCAAGGCAAAACATGCAACATGAGAATGTTTTTGAATAATCTGATGGTGCATCTCTGGCTGAGACTTGTATAAGATTACATGGATAATGAATTTAAGTGCGAGTTGAAGGCCACAGTTCCTGAGCGAGTGTCTAGTCCTGCAGATGGACTCCACCAATCAGTTCCTGCAACCAGTTTGGTCTCTGTGTTGTCCTGTTCCCTCATTAACAATCCTGCCTTGCTGAACTTGTTCTGCTGCGCTCCCTCAGAAAGCATGACATGGCAACACAGGCTAGTTTTGGTTGAACGAGACCCCAGATGCAGTCCTTGATATCTGAGTTGAAAGTTGCCCAATGAGTAACTAATTTTAGACGGTAGCTGAGTTACATCAGGGGCTGTTGCAGTTAGCATGCAGACAGAAACAAGAGACAGGCTGGCGCTAGCTGGGGTAGCCATTACATAAAAAAAAAAAAAATCAAACTATACATAGAAAACTAATGTTGCAATTTGTTTCAAATACGCTTCATCTTTGGTGATCATCTTTGGTCTTTTTGGGGTTTTTTTCTTAATGCGATACTCTCAACTTATATATTCATCCAAATAAGGAGGAGTTATAAATCAAACAAAATGCAATAAATTTTAACTCAACATGTAGTAATTACTGCAAAGATGGTAAGACGTGCCTTTTGGAGGCATGTCTCACAAATTGGGTCTTCCATATGACAGTTTTGTTCATTGCTCTGCTCTGAGCAACAGAACAATTTGTACAACGCCTCTACTTAGGGGTTTGTATGAGCTAGGGCTATTTTCGTTTTCCTGTACCCTGAAGCTTGAAGCTCTGTGTCAAAAACTTGTTTCCATTTCACTGATCAGATTGCTGCCTGTGAAGTATTTCCCTGTAACCCACCTATAGCACGCTGCTTTGTTGTAAACATGATTGAACTTGCCTGGAAGCGCTGCCGGGGTTTGCAAAATGTATGCAAGATGCATATTTGTATTTCTGTTCGGCCGAGTCAAAAAAATGTAGACCCATGTAAGTTAAAACAAGTTGATTTTAAAAAAAAAGAGCCTCTTTAAGGTCCACTACAACTAAATTTATTTAGATGTTGAAGTCCATCCAGCCTGTTGGGGGCACAAGTAATGCCTGGTGGCCTGCCAGGCTTATAATACAGTGGGGGAAATCCTGTGTTATGATGTTTTATTTAATGTAAGTGATGGTATAAATGTAGATGTTTGTATTAAAATGCAGCAGAAACTGCAACGTTGGGTAGAAAAAAAGTTGTATTTGTTAAAATTGAGCTGTTGGCGAAACCATGCCGTTAACAGATTTTTGCTAGTTGCTGATTTTTATTTATTTATTTTTTTCTTGACCTGAAAGATCAAACAGGAATTGATTCGTTCCACAGTGAGAGTGATGAAATTTGAAAACCTTTGATTGCTTCCTTATGGGCCTGCACAGTCATGCTCCGGACATCCAGCTTTGCCTGTTTTGTGACTGCGTTGCGCTACCTCCTCACGCTGAGATGATAGTAAATGTTCATCTTCAATCCAAATGCAAATCAGTAGTTTGTTCAAGCTGATCATACATCCAGGCTCTTTTTAATTCTGTTTTTTAGTGCCGTAGCCGACAGTCATTTAACTTTCTATTTAACTTATTTTTTGCTCTTGGCTCTGATAGGTTATCAGTAATGTTAGTAATTTTAGTCATGGCTGAAAGGTGCCAGGCTATTGTTTTTTTTCACATCTCAATACTTGAATGCTAGATTATTTTCAGGTTTTCATGAATTGGTTTTCTTTGTGAAAAGGGGAAATTAAAATATATTTTAATGTGAAATCAAAAGTTAAATGTTAAAAATGCTTTAAGTTTTTCCACTTGTTAAAAAGGTTATGAAGACACAAGATTTCCCCCAGAAAAATTGCTAAGCCTGGTGGTTGGGTGATGGAGCAGTCATTCATCCAGCAGTTAAGAAAATGTTTAAAGTTGATGGAAAATTTGAAAATATCAAATTCAGGAGTTGCTGAACACCAACTATAAGGACTTAAGAAAGCAAACATTTTAAAAAGGCTTAAATAAATAACCAGTGGTTAGCCTGGTGATCTGCCAGGCTTGTAATACTCTGGGAGAAACCCTGGATAGAGTTGTTTAAAAAACATTGATAAAGTTTTTCTCTCTTCTTTTTCGCAGTGCCAGAGCATACCTGGTCAAGACAAAGACCTTAATCACAACCACAGCCCTCTACACCCCTTCCCCATCCATACACACACCCACACACACAAAGTCCCTAGCAATGCCAAGGGGGGCTGATCAGCCTGCTGCCTGCTCTGACAAGCTCTGCCTCCTCACCCCACACCCTTGAGGCTGCGCTTAACCAAGCTTTGACCGCTGACCTCCCCGTTGTCGACCTGGGAACCAAAGGTCGCCTGTTCTCCGCCGAAGTCGGGGACGCCCTCCTGTCCAGCCAGGAGCTGCAGCCACCAGTGGCACTCAAAGGTAAACTGTGAAAAGCAAAAGGAGCTTTTATGTTTTCCTACGGCGACACAGGGCTTTATAAAGGCACTGTTTGCCACGGATGTCAGTCCTGAGGAGGGCCTGAAAACAAATGTTCACTTAGATGGATCTGAATGTGGTGGAGGGGTCCTTTTGCTCAAACCCACTAAACACTTTTATCATTATTCAATTTTGAAGAATTGGTATGAGAGAACTGTAATGCAAGGAAAATAGTTAACCATTTGAGTGAGCATCCTGTTGCATCAAAGGAATTTGTTCTTTTGATTGCATGTGCAATAATGTCTACCTGACTCATAATAACAACTATTTAATTACATAAATATGTTTATGGTCTATTACACCCTCAATGAAAATTGAGGTTATAATTAGCTTTTTTTCATTTCAGCATTTAGGAATACATGAATAGGTGTTCTAGTTCACCAGTATATGTTTTATGATGATTATGAAGAAAAAAACACTTGATTTGCGGAGATCCTTAATTCATCAAAAGTGAAAACACTTTATAAGTCAAAATCTGACTAACTAAAGATAACTGTAAATGTAGGCGGGCTGATCTGATTAAAATGTGGTATGTCTGTCTTATACAAAAAGAAATGTTTCTCTTGTCTTTTTTAAATGGTTTTCTAACATTGTATAAAAATCTTTAGAGGGTGAATGAAAAATATGCAGAATATGCATGTTTTTTTAAAAATCTGATTAATCGTCAGAACAATGGATTTATTAAGGCAATAGTTACTTGCTGCCCTAAATGTGCATGCACTGGCTACTAACATACTGCAAGCTTTTCTTCTCTTGAATGTTCTTGACATTCGGCATTACTAGATTCTCAATATTTCTCAAACCTTTTTCTGTCTCTGACCCCTTTCAAGTCTGATCCTTTGCTTTCTGTTTCCAGGCATGGCTCCCATTCGGGATTCCGTCAGCCATTCCCCTAATCAAACAGGTGACACAACATTATAGCTTCTTCCTGAACTTTCTGTCTGCATGCCCTTCTTTCCTGTGATGCCCTATGATGATTGTTTGCTTTAAAAAATCGTGAGACTGGGTCTTGACTTTTTATTGAAGGTGCATTGTGTTCATTGCTTATCGGTGGGATGGAGATAAATGGGAGAGGAAGGGAATATTGAAGTTCGCAAGGAAAGATCTGGCAAACATAGTAAGATGCGCTGGACAGAGACTATTTTTTTCAGATAGAGGCTTAAGAAGTGAAGATTGTTTAAAGGAAAAAGAATGGAAAACATTCAGACATCCGGTTGTGTTTGGCTGACTTGTTGCCAGTCCTGTTGACATGCAACACCAGCTACAAAACTTGTCTTCATTAAACTGTCTTTCTGTTTTATGAACCTTCTTCATTAACAAAACAAACAAAATGCCACAATCACCAGTCGAAATCACTATTTTTTTTTGTGAAACAGATCAAGCTGGTAGAATCACCCTGCAGCTTAAATGTTAACATCATTAGTGATAAAAATATTGTTGAAAAATACTTCTAATATATATTCTCTTACAAGTGGAACAAGACAAAATTTTAAAAGCCTTTATAATAAGCTACATAAATATTGAAGTGCACTATATTTTCATTCATGGTTTTATTGTGAAACTTGGCAGAAAGTTGCATCTGAGGTGACAATTTTCATAGAGAATTGTTTGTTTAATTGATAACATGCTTTGCATTATTATTGTTATTATTATTATTATTTGGCTGTCCCGCCAAGTTCAGCGAAAAGAGAAGGTTAACAAATCTGACAAGTTTATTACTAGTTAACCAGAGTAATAGCATCATTCTGAACATTTCCTGTTTATACCTGGAGAAGTATTAGATGCTTTTATTTTGAAATGGCATTACTAACCTAAGTTTTGTTAATAATTAAAACAGACTAACCTCGTCTTTTGTATCGGTTTTTTTTGTTTGTTTTGTTTTTTCTTTACAATGGTCAAATTGACAAAGCTCAATGAACTCCGATAAACTTTTGTTCCCTGCTATGAGAAGCACATACTGATGCAATGTGGCAGAATTACTACAGTAAATAGATTTAAGCAGACACCACAGTGACAGAATGGGCATTTAATAGTGAAGCGGGGAATGACTGGATGCAGTCTGTGAAATCTAATTTTAGAAACATGCCAGATCTGAATGCTGTTGGTCTCAATCTTAGATGCCTTCATTTCCTCCCCCTTGCCAACTTCTTTTTCCTTATGCAGTTGGCATCCTTCTTGTGCCCTCCAACGCCTCGTCAGCAGCCAGTCGCCTGCCTCACTGAATCTTCTTTAATCGCTTTGGCATGCTTGTGTGTCCTGCTGTGGAGACAAAATGGTGGCAGCTGTGTCCAGGCTTACTTTTGGCAGCAATGGCTTTCAGAACAGTTGGAAAATTCAAGATTGGACGAAATGGCAAAATATAAGATTGTGACTGAGGAGTTAAATGAAAACCATCTAATGGACTTAATACACCAAACTGATGTTTGTAGTATTAATGGAGGTCTGTTTCTCTACTTTTGTGGCATAATGGACGACTCGTACAGTTGGACGTTGTCTTTGGGCTGAAGTGGTGTCAGTGAGAGATCAGTCGCAGAGTTTGTACCATGATTAAACAATTCTTATTAATGTAATAACTGAAGTCTGGGAAGCAATGTTTGGCAAACATCTATTACAGAGCTACTATTATAATACTATTTTAATATTTTAAATTGAAACACTGGACCTGGGGTCTGCAGCTTGAGGCTTCAGGCTCTTGATGACTTTGTCTTTAAATTGCTAACTCATTTTAAATATAACTATAATTACAAATGCAAGTTTTAGCAGATTTTTATTATGGTACTAAAAATACCAGTAACAAATTTTTAGATAAAAACCTGAAAATAGAAGTAAAATTTAAAGTTTTCAATAATAAAAAAAATTTATATAAAAAAATCAAGTTCCCCTCCCCCAGACTCCTGAAAGACCACTTGCAGCCCCTAAACCAGTTTATTTAACTGGGCTGGGATTGTAAGGGTTGAAGGTCCCTGCTTGAGACATTAGAAGATCTAATTAGAAATTTATTGGATTATTAAAGTCCCTTCCTGAAAGTATCCAGGTGGAAAGGGGTTGAAATCAACTATTACTCCTCAGGCTTTTTGGAGAATCTGTTGCCAACCTGAAATTCCCCTCCTATAGAGGAATAAAAGTTTAATTAGACTTCATTTTAGGGCTTTTACGAACCAGTTCTAGCTTCAGGCTGGATAGTTTAGCATTTTTTGCAGCAGTTTCTATGCTCAAATCTCAACAGCGTCTTATCCTGTTCTCCGCAGGTTTGGAGCATCCTGGCTTGGATTCCCAGTATGAGCCTTCCTCCTGGTCCTCTGGCTCCCCGTGCAGCAGTGATGGTAACAGCAACTGGAGCAAAGTCCTAGGTGACGGGAGTTCCGACAAATCCAATAACACCTGTTCACCCAGCTCCTCTGTCTGGCCTCCCTCCTCCTCTTCATTTTCTTGCTCCTCATCCTCCTCTGGCTGTGGTTCAGGGTCCGATCCGGAGTTGGCATCAGAATGCATGGATGCAGATTCTAACTCTTCAGTCGGTTCAGAGAAGAACCTCGGCCTTGCTGCAACTACAGTAATGATGATGTCAGCCAACACTTCTTCCTCCGTGTCCTCAACAGCTTCTTCCCCCTCCTCCCTGACATCCACCATGATGGTTGGGGTCGGCGTGAACGGAGACAGCAACATTTGTCAGGTCGGAGGCATCGGAACCTTAAGCAACGCAAATAATGAAAACAATATCACCGGATCCTCACACTACTCCATGGCTGGGTCCAGCAGTATTGGCAGCAATAATATGAGTAACCACAACAACAAGCTATTTGGCAGCAGTGGTGTATGGGGCTCCCAGTCAGGCAGCAACATGAACACCATCGGTGGAAGCAACTCTTATATAAATGGAGGGTCAAACCCAAACATTTTAAACCCAAATGCCAACCACGGTGCCTGGCCACAGAATCCAACCCCAAACCCGGTGTGCCAGGGCCAAAGGCCTCCACCGGCTCTGGGGATGACTTCCAAACTGGGTGTGGTTCCTCACCAGGGGCCCTTAATGGCCTGGGGGGGCATGGCAGCTCCAGACAGCAGCAGTATGATGGAAGACACTGAGGTGAATAATGGTACATCGAGCAGCAAGGTGTTAGGAGGCAGCAACAGTGGCAATGGTGGTCTGTTGCCTGGCAACCTTAACACTGAACCCAATGGACCAAATAACACTATCATGACGAATACTACTACTACTAACGCCACAGTGACCTCTAGTCCACCAGACTCTACCACCTCACCCCTGCTCAGCGGGGAGCGTACCTGGGGCTCCATTGGAGGAGGAAATGGGGGGCCGCTGGCCAATGGAAGCCCCTCATTAGCTTCCCAGCACCCTCAAGGAGAATCAGGGGGTACTGGGGCTTTTGGTACGCCTTGGGGCGCAGCTACCTACCATGTAGACAAAAGCCCCCTTAATGTAGACACTGTGAACTCCCAGAACTCCTCTATTGCTGCTTTTAAGAGTAATAATAACCACAATAACACTGGGGCCCCACGGTCGGACCAAGGGCCCACCAACACCGTGAACCAGCCTCAAAGTAACTTGTCCTGGAGCATTGGCCCTAATCAAATCCCAAGCTCTACAGGCCAAGCTCCTGGAAGTGGAAACCAAACTACTGTGGGCCCTCCAGTAGGGATCCCTCGCCCGTGGGGGAGCAGCGCATCCTCCTCTTCTTCGTCATCGTCTTCTTCCACCTCAAACAGCAAAATGTCAAACGGAGAATGGGGATCGGCGACGACTGGTAACAGTTCTGACGCAGGAATTCAGAAAGGAAGTTCTACCAACAATGGGTGGAAGAGCCTCGAGGATGACGCTATGGGTATGGGAGGAGCAGGCGCTGGGAGTCAGGGCCTGGGAGGTGTCACTGGAAGCTGGGGCCGCTCCGGTGGAAGCGAAGGAAGTTGTGAAAGCGGCGGAGGTCGATCCAGCTCAGACAGAGACTCTAAAGGAGGAAACCGCAGGAAAGGCAACAATACCCCGTTGATGACGCCAGCCATAACCCGGGCCGATGTGGACCCGAGGGTTCTTTCCAACACTGGATGGGGACAAACGCCCATACGGCAGAACACCGCTTGGGACGTCAATTCTCCTATGGTCAATCATGGTCCTAAAGGGGATGAAAGAAAGCAGAGCAGTGGGGGTTCCAGTTGGGGCACAACAACAACGGCAGCTCCCTCCCAGACCTCTGGAGGTAGGGGCTGGTCCTTAATCTGAAATAGTCAACATAAACCTACTGTTCCTACTATAAACCATTGAGAAGGAAAGTTGATCATTGTGTCTTGGATGTACTTGCAGGTTGGGGGGTTGGGCCAAGCAGCTCAGGCCCTGATAGTGGAGGCTCTGGCTGGGGTGAGCAGAAACAATCATCAGGTTGGGACAGTAAAGGAGGAGGTGGCTGGGATGATGGATCCAGTTACAAGGGTGGTAACAGCAGCAACACCTGGAACAACAACGTTAAAGACGACAGGTAAGCATTGGCCCACTTTCCAGCTGTATACAAGCAGGAGTTACTGATCGTGGTTTTAAAAAGTTATTTTGAGAGTTCTTTTTGAAAATTGTTTAATGGTTTAACGAGGTCGTAGTAAACCATAAAGCCGAAAAGTTTGCTTTGCAACTCTCACTTTTCGAACACCTCTTGCTGCTGCTCAGCTGGCGGAAAGAGGAAATGAGAGGCAGTCATCGTTCATAGGTGTATGATTAGAATATCCGTTAACCCAGACTTATTAATCAGCTGATATCAGCTTGTTACCAGAATTGGGGTTTCATACCACAATATTTGTTCAGTGTGTGTCATAATGCATGGCATCTGTAACAGTACCCTATCTATGTGATTTTAGAAGTAGAGCCATTTTTTTTTTTCATAAAAAATGTTTAGATTGTGGTATTCCTTCATTTTAGCAATCACCTTTTGCCTCCGAATGTTCTCTCAGCCATGCTTATCAATAACAATTTTATCATATTTTTTGTTTTTTAGTGTGCGTTTAAAATTTACCAACCTTTTTTCCTCCCTTTAGGTCAATGACATGGACTAATACACCCAAAGCGCAGCAGAGCTGGGGGTCCAACAGTGGAAACGGTAGTGAAGGATGGGGTAGCGGTGTCGACAGCACCAGAACAGGAGTCAGCAACCACTGGGGGGAACCTCAGAAGGGCGCCGGCTCAGTGGGCTGGGACAGCGACAGTGACCGCTCCGGCTCCGGATGTTGGAGCGAGCCAAGCCGGACCAGCAGCAACAGCACCTGGGTAGGCAGCGGAGGATCGAATACTCCTGACCAGAGCACTCCAAACCCCAGCTCCAACTGGGGAGACCCGGTCCACAAGCCCAACCAAGGCTGGGGTGAGCCAGGGAAGAACAACCATGGAGCTCAGAACTGGGGGGAAGCCAACACTAAACCTTCTAATGAATGGAGTAAAGGTCCTGAATCCAGCATGTCCCGAGGCAACCAGGGTTCCAGCAAACCCACAGGTGGGGATCAAGAGGGTTTATCGTTGCTAGAATTGATCACAGCTGAACTGAATGCCTTTACAGTGAAATGTTTTGAGAGAAATAAACAAGCTAATGCCATGGTTTTGTTATTCCAGGCTGGCTTGGTGGCCCAATGCCTGCTGTTGGCCAGAAGGAGAACGTTGCAACTGGGTGGGAGGAACCTTCTCCAGAGTCCATCCGTCGGAGGATGGAGATCGATGACGGAACTGCTGCCTGGGGAGATCCTGGTAACGACCAATTCAAATACTAATCTCTTTATAAAGACTGATTAAACTAAGAGTATGAATGGAAATCTTTTTTTTTTATTGCAAAGTGACAGACAAATGAAGCTTTCAGATTTGCACAAGGTTTAAGGCTGTATGTTAGTAGCATATTTGTATTCAAAGAATTATGCAGCCATGTAGGCTCTTTAAAAAAATATCCCAAATGTCCTTGCATATTTGTCCCTGAAAAATATAAACATACTATTTATAAAAATATTGCAAACTTTTCACAGGTAAGTACAGCGGAGGCGCTGTCAACATGTGGAACAGGACCACTCAGTCGGATCCGGAGCCCATGGCCCCACCCTCTCAGAATAAACCCCACCCAGCACACTGCTCAATGCCGCCTGTGCAGCACGTCAACCAGGACAAAGCCTCCATTTCAAGTAGGTTGCAAACATATGGCCTTTTCACATTTATTTAAATATTCGTTTGAACAATAAAGAGAAAAACACTTGACACGCTGACATTTTATTACAGAGAGTGAACAAATAAATCCAAAACATCACAGATAAATTACCTTACCTACTATATGTAAGGTAATTATATTCTTAAATTTCATGAATAACCTCAAAGCAGATCATGCAAGCAACTTTTAGGTAAATATATCACATAAGTGAGCAGTTGTGCACCAAATTCTGATTTAAAATGTGTTATTTGTGCGGATGCTCACCAACAACACATGCATGGTTTTCAGAGCTACATGGGTAAAAACAGAGCCAGTAGAACCCTTTCTCAGTCCTCCTACTGTGTTGTCTGTGCTGAGAGCTTTTTCCAAAGCGAGTTGAGTCATCCCTCTGGAATGCTAAGAGCATCACTTTTTTTCTTTTTCTCATTCACCTCTTCTTCTTTCTTTCTTTTGTGTTTTTGTTCGCCCACCAATTCTGCACATACACTTTTATTGAGTTGAAGTAGAAAAGAGCAAGAGAGAAAATGAATGGCAAAGGAGGAGGTCTTCTGCATTTCAGTGTAAGACGGCTATTCTGCAGAAAGGGCCTGAGAAAGAGAAATGCACAAATAGGGTGTTAAGCCCATTCAGATGTCCTTGTGCAGGGAACCAACTACAACAACCTCAGTGTTTTGCACTTATTCATAGCCGCATGTATCATATTTTTCATAAACGTTGATATATTTTTGCATGACAGGGAAAGAACATCACAATGTTTTGCACAATTGTAAAGAGGTGAAAAACAATTCAAATTCTTAGAAATAAAATGGTGTGGGGATGCTTTAAATGTTTAAAGTTACTAAAAGCTACAAAATGGGTAGAATGCATTTCCAAGACTGTTTACAGGGTGTCTGCATATCTTTAAAAAGTCTTAAGTTAATGTACCTACAATGAAGGCCTTAAAAAGTCCTAGATTCATTTAAAACTCTGTGACAACCACCTCTACTTCTGACTGAAGTTATTTTGTAATGAATTTCCGATGAGCCGGACATTTCTTGGATTTTATAAACATTAATTGGAATGTATCGTGACAAAATGTATCACGATAAATGATAAACGATACTATACGCTACCCACCTCAAGCGTCCATTGATATCCAGATTTGCCCTTTATGAATGTTGGCTTATGCAAGTTTACAGCTGCATGCACATTTACTGGAGGACCTTTAAAACCTCTGGGTACCCCATGGTCAGTCCTATTTTTATAAGAAGCTATCCCTGGCATTCTAACTAACCTCTTCCTGTGGAAGGAGAAAGCTGCAGGTCTGTGGGGTCAGCTGTAACAAGAGCCTTTAACAAGAGCCAGTTTGTCACTGTATAAAGGATAAATATCTAAATAAACACTTGCTTAATCAAACTTAAAAAGCTGTCTAAACACCAGAGGTTTGACTGATTGCAGAAGCTCCCTGTGTTTAAGAAAAGAGAAATGCTTCCGAATGCCAACAAGGTCTCAACTACTGAAGAGGATACTTTAGAAATTACACAGCGGCTCATATGGTGTCCTCCACCTCTTGCAGGTTGGGGGGAGCCCTACTCTCAGCAGAAGGAGTCTTCCTCATGGGGGGAACGTTCAGCTGGTCCACCTGTGACGGTGGACAACGGGACATCTGCCTGGGGGAAGCCCATGGACACCAGCGCTGGCTGGGACGAACCCAACAAGGACGTCAGAGAATCTGGGTCAGGATGGGGCAATCAGCACAAGTCTGGTAGGTGGACGGCAGGTTTTCACCTCACATATGTACCGTAACGCCTACTTCTGTTTCTTTGTCGATAAATCTTTCCTTAATATCTGCAGGTCCCAAGCCTATGGAGACATGGGGTAGTGAGGACGTGTCCATGAGCAACAGCTGGGACCAGGAAGAGGAGGTTGAGATTGGGATGTGGACCAATAACCAACAGGACAACCGGTCTCATGACCAGAACACGTGGAACTACAAGCAAAAAGGCCCCAACAAGGTCTGTCGAATTAAACCCACAATTATATTAAAAAAGGCAGAAATTGTTTAATTTCCCCCCTCCCCTTTTTTGTTTATAAACTAAGAGTTTCTATTTCTTTTTGAAATCTGTGTTTCAGATGAACAAACCAGTCAACAAACAAGACGATCCTTGGAAACCTTTTATCAACCAGTTCAACAGCATGTCTTTCTCTGTAAGTTCAGTTTCTGTTTGAATGTTTCAATAAGCTCACATCATTACTACAACTTGGAAGAGATAAGTGGAGAAACATGCTTAAAATACAGGTTTATTTTTAAGAACTTTAAAAAATGTAATTTAAATTTAATACAGTCCAGTACAGAATGAAGATAGTTGTTCAGATTGCTGCATTTTCAGCATATAAATGGAAAGTTTTGTGGAAACAAAAGACTGGTACTATAAGTCTCAGCCTTAAAGTCAAGGTGAAGGAAACGTCCATTTAGAAGTTTGTAGATTTTATTGCTGTAAGAGCCACAGCCACGTTTACAGCAGCTGCTGCATTCCTGGACCAGAGACCATGTCAGAAGTTACCTGTTGCTGAAGAGATAAAAGACTCTTTTTAGATTAAATTTAAACTTTGCACTTCATTTGGAAATCAAGGTCTGAGTCTGGAAGCACAGTTGAGAGGCTCAACGGTTTTTATGTAGGAAATGGGGGGTGGGGAGACGCACTTGTAGAAACAAGTCCTGCTTTTGGTGTTTATGTGAAGTTTTTCTGCCTGCCAAATGCTTTCTGTGCATAAATTCCTCATTCCATTCCTCGAACAATGTCAGTAAATCTAAATCTTTTGCCTTTGCAGAGAGACTCTCCTGATGAGTCCATGAAGCCAGGATCAGGCATGGGGACGGACAAACGTATGGACATGAACAGCCTGGGGGACTACAGCGGCGTCATGGGGAAGAACACAGTTTCTCGACACCAGTATCACAAGGACTCTGTCGTAGATCGTCCTTACTTTGACAAGGTACGCAGCTTCAGTTATGAAACCTTTAGAGGGGAGGGATGTCTGGTTAGCTGTTGCTTTTGTTGCACTCTTCTGCCCCTCAGTGGTTGTCCTGACACATTGCATGTCTGCACTGTTTTTTTTTTAAATGTTATCAGTTCGAACTCTTCTCAGTTGCTGTGCAGCATTACTTGTAATATTGTCACATATTTAACTTGATAAATTGCCCCTCATAAGGAGTTTGACAAGATTTCTGCGAGGTTCATGCTTTTCTTTTTAGTTTAAATTTTCAGGTCTGTTTTCTGTCTTGCTTCAAGTCAATTCTAAATCTGTTTTTGCTTCGCTGCACTCTTCTCTCGCACCCTCGAGTCCAGGATTTTCCCTTTCACCCTCCTCGTTATGCAAAATTAATTACTTTGTCTCTTTTCTTCCCTTCCCTCTCTGTGCTTATTTGGCTGCTGACACGCTTCCTGTCCCTCTGTGCTTGCCGTCCATGTGCCGTGCGCGCCGGGCCTTTGTTTCTGCAGCTTTCCGCTTATGATAGCCCTGCTTCTGATGAGCTCTCCTCCAATCAAAGCATGAGCCTTTCCCCTAGCAATTCTGCTCAGCCTATCCCCTGTTTCAACTCCGGGCCATCCCCTTCCCACTCTAGTTCTGGGGCCGCTCCGCAGGTGAGTGTGGAAGGATGATGAGTGGTGGTTGTTTCTTTTGTCTGTTCTTATTTTTATTATTTTGAGTTTTCAGATTTCTTTCTTTTTCACGTTACATGGCTGGCATTGTGGCTTACTTTCCAACATATTCCTGACATTCATTAAATCTTAGACCTCAACCTGTTAAAAATCGTGTGATTAATTGTTTTTCTTGATACATTTTGGTTGTTTAAATAACTTTATGTAAAATGGTTTATTTTTTTCCTTTCTTTTGTTTCTTTTTCCTCCTCAGAATGTAAATCCCATGTTGGGTGGCAGCAGCGTAGCACAGGGCCGAGGAGGCCCCCAGTCCCAACCCCCACCTCAACCCAATCTTCGCAACCAAGTGCCTCCAACCATCCTTCCCTCTCAGGTAGAACAAACCAACAATGCAGTAATTATATTATAATCGTGTGGCATTCAGCAACTGTTAGCAATTTGTTTTTGTTTTTTGAAACCTGCCAGAAATTTCTACTTTTCTATTTTTTATTTTTGGAAAACAAGTAAAGACACAGAACAAACTTGTTGAATATTTTTTAGTTACATGCAGGTCTTGTATAAATTTCCTGTTTGTGTCTTTTAGCTAATGCTTGAAATATCTGCAAGAAATTAGAAAAATGCGATGCCAAAATTCCCATTAATTTGTTTTCAGAGATTTGGTTCAAGATGGAAACCCTGACATTTTTACAGTTTTGGGGGAGAAACCAAAACATTTTTTATTCCAACATAGGAATCACAATTTTTATTTTAACAATATTTAACTAGACCATTTGAAAAGATTGCAGCTTTTAGTGCTTGGCTCATTCTGACTGCAGTTTCAAAAAGTGTATAAAACAGATAAAACCAGTCCAGACTCAAGTATAAAAATTGTAAATGATCAATTTTTTTTTTCTTAGTTTTTCCTTTATTTTAGGTGAAACTACAAATTCTCATTTTCAACTATGACCGTCTGTTGGCATAAGACTAATAAGCTCCCATTCATCTGTATTGTATATATTAGTAGTTTTCATTATAATTTATGTACTTGTTTATTAGTATTTGACAAAATTGTGCTCAGTATGTACATTTCAAATGTGTCGTTAAATGACAATCGACTCTAAGCTAAGCTAGCCGATTGCAGTATGAAAAAATGCCTTTATTCACCTAATTTCATGTTTATTTTTCTGTCTCCAAAATGTACTTCAGGTTACTCTGTTTTATTGTAGCTAATTTTCATCTAAATATAATAGATAATAGTGCAAAAGCTGAAGAACTACTTGCTTTGTTTACTTAAATTGTGTCTCAAATAAAGACAATGCAGCCTTTATGTCCAGTCAGAGCTTCATTGAGCAAATGGAGTCACAAGCGAGGTGGCGCTTTACAAGCCACTTCGCTTTGAGGAAGAACATCATGGAAGAACATCTTTCAAAGATGGCAGATCTTAACTTAAACCTGCATCCTTCTCTTTTGGTGCAGGTTCCTCCCTCTCTGCTGAAGTACCCAGGAGCCAACAGTGGTTTGAACCCTCTATTTGGTCAGCAGGTGGCTGTGCTCAACCAACTCTCCCAGCTCAACCAGTTGACACAGCTCAACCAGATCAGCCAGTTACAGGTATGAAATTGGAGGCTTGCATAGACCCGGCTTAGTTAAAATGCACAAGCTGTCATTAAAAGGTCGGTGTGATTCCTGTTCTGTGTTTTGACTCTGTCGTTTGTCTGCAGCGTCTTCTCTTTCAGCATCAGCAACAGCAAAAGGTTCAAAGCCAGAGGGCCATGCTCGTGGGTCGTCAGACCGAACAGGTGAGTTGGTCCAACATGTTTCCTGGTTTCAAGCCAACATTCCACCAGATTCAGGTAAAATGTCTTAAAGTTGCTTCCTTCCTCCTGCTCTCCACAGACACGTCCCATTGGTTCGTCTCCATCAATGATGCCGCCTCCACGGCAACACAAACCGTACCCCGACAGCTACTTGTCCCAAAACACCCCAGACCTGCAGAAGGACGCTTCCTCCATCGGGTCCTTCAGCAACTTCTCCTTTGGTATGTCGACTCGCAGTCAAATCGTCTAAATCGCCAGACGCAGTTTCTCAGACTCCAAATGGGGTTGGCGTACTTTTATTCATGGTTTACTAAAATATGGGTGAAGAAGGAAGGGAAGCCATAAGTAATCTTACTTGTTGTTGGCAACAAGATATGAAAACTGATGAGCTTGAGCTTTATTAGCAGGGTTCTCCTAGTGTTTCATAGATAGGGTTTTAGACGGATTAAGCTAGGTTTATAGTTGCTGCACGATGTGCCGCTGGTGGACTACCACTGTGCTGAGCAAGTGTCCTGAGGAAAACCTTGTTTTAGCAAAGAGAAGTGGGGAAATAATATTCCAAAAGACTCCGTTGTAGTGACCGAATTTTCTGCAGTTCGACTCGGATTGACTGAAACAAATTAATTCCGCGTTTCTCAGTTCAGCAGTCAAAATGGCGTGAATTCTTCTCATTAAGTTGATGGTACACTTGCTGTTCCTGACCTCTGCCTCCATCTCTTACCATCAGGCTTGAACTCTAACCAGAATGTAACCCTGGACATGGGTGTTGGGGGTGGAAGCAGCAGTGGCGGAGGAGCTGTGAATTACAAAGACCTGCCCCAGTCCAGACTGAAGAAACTTTGGGCTGCTGACCCCCTGGAGCAGAACAGCAAACCTGGTACTTGACTCCTTAAGAGCATTTAGTAACGGCACATTGAAAAACCGCTGTCTGCTTGTAGGCTTGTTTGCGTCTCTAAGCCTAAGGTTTCGTCCTACAGGTGCTATGTCGTCTGGACTCCGTCTGGACGACTCTCCTTTCTATGATTTTCTGTCTCCCGGCCCGTCTCCCCTGAGTCCTCCTGGTCAATCAATGGGCTCTGTGGGCGATGGCTGGCCACCCCGTGCCAACTCCCCTCCTCCCCATGGAAATACTGTCACCTGGCCCCCAGGTAGAGGCCCCGACAGCATAGGAAACTTCTTTTTAAATAGTTTTTTGAATGACTAATAATTGTGGAGGACTATCTGCAGAGTTCCGGCCCGGGGAGCCTTGGAAAGGTTACCCCAACATCGACCCTGAGACTGACCCTTATGTGACCCCTGGAAGTGTCATCAACAACCTTTCCATCAACACCGTCCGTGACACAGACCTCCTCAGGGACAGGAACAACGGTAGGCCACCTTACTTCCTTGCTTCAAATGTGAAGATGTGATTCTGGGTTTTGTAAATAAGGGTACTTGGAGGAGTCAAGTTATCTACTAAATTGTCCCCTATTTTTTTAACCTTGAGAGGAAACTTGAGAAATTGACCTTATCTACTGCTGCAAAGGTTTAAAAATGAGCCACTATCCCTGACTGACTGACTGATTTGCACCTACGCGGTTAACAAAAGTCATACCACTGTTGTCAATTCAGCGACTTTGTAGACAAGAAAAATGGTATCTACCAAAATCAGAATTGACGAATCTGTTTTTTCATTAAAGATTGCCGATTCACCAGAAACTCCAAACTTTGCACTCCTTTAAATAGGATGACAGAATAGAAATAACGCTGTTGCTATGGTTTCCCAGGGCCATCCTCATCACTGAACACCACGATGCCTTCTAACAGTGCCTGGTCATCCATTCGTGCCTCCAGCCACAGCGGTTCCCTCACCAGTACAGCACAAAGCACTTCAGGTACGTTTCACTCTCAACCTCTGGAATCACGCCGTGGCTCTAAATATACTCCTTCCATGGATCAGACGTCCATTGTTTTGCATTTCCTAAATAAAATCAAACTCTGTCTTCCCTCCCGCCCCCTTGTAGCTAGACCCAGTGAGTCAAAGTGGTCTCCTGGCGGCGGTTCTGTGTCCAACTCCTCTTTAGCCCATGAGCTTTGGAAAGTCCCCCTGTCTCCTAAGCCGCTGCCAGTAGCAGCCCCCTCCAGACCACCGCCTGGCCTCACTAGCCAGAAGCCCAGCCCCGCCTCCTCCGGCTGGGACGGCTCTGCCCTGAGGCTGGGGGGCTGGAGCTCCTCCGAGTCCAGATACACACCCGGTGAGACAGCATTCTATAATTTTACTATTGGGAGACAAGAGTGAGATGTTTCTCTTTTTTTTTTTTTTTGTATTTTAAATGATGTATTGTGTTTTTATTAACCAGGCTCCAGTTGGGGTGACAGCAGCAGCAGCTCAGGGAGAACCCAGTGGCTTGTTCTGAAAAATCTCACACCTCAGGTACTTAAAGTGGTTTAGATCAATCTGAACAAAAACAGCCCAAATCAAACGTTTATTACTATCAGAGTGCTCGATGTTTTAGCTTATGTGCTCATTTTGGGTGCCCAGATTGACGGCTCTACGCTGAGGACTCTGTGCATGCAGCATGGCCCTCTGATCACATTCCACCTCAACCTGCCACATGGCAACGCCGTGGTTTGCTACAGCTCAAAGGATGAAGCCGCCAAGGCCCAGAAGAGCCTGCACATGTAAGAATGAAGCCATTACATTTATTTTCACCCACAGACTTTTTATAGACTGTCAATCATACGACTTTTCATATCTTTCGCGAACACGTTTCTTTTCCATCAGCTTACTCTAGCCAGTTGTTTTTGTGGTCCAAATGGTTTTACATCACAAAATATTTATTTCCTTAAACTTTTTGCAACCACAAACTTGAATTTACTGCATTGAAATTTTGTGAGTTTTTGTGTTTAAGCCCTTTTTTATCTGCTTGATATTCAAACTGCAAAATTTTGTAATAATTCACAATCCAACGTTAAATGAAAAGCTTAAATTTGGAAATTGCTACAGTTGATACCGGATGTTTTTATACACCTAATAAACAGATAAAAATATTTTCTTACCCTCTTAAGTTAAATTACACCAAACTTTCATTGTTTTAGGTCAGTTCTAATTACCAAAATTATTCCTGTTTGCTAAATACCAGAAAACTGAGAGCATTTTGTTTGATAGATTTCTTTTATAACTTATTTTTGCAGGAAGGCCATTTACCTTAATGTGCTTCATTTGGATTATTCCAATATAATAAATATTGGCTCACTGAATTATTGATCTGTAGTTGAAATAAAACTTGGCTTGTATTTTATACATTAAACTGCATTATTGAAATTGGGAAGGTTTTTAGTTAAATTGGTGTTTAGTTCTCGGATCTGTCCTGTGTGTGCGTGAAGGAAACATTTCAAAACATAAAAAGTTGTATTTTAGTTTATCTCATGCTAGATGTAGAATGTAAAACATATCAATATTAACAGTACTAAACATGATATATAATGATGAATTGAATTTATTTATTTTTCAGTTCATTTGTATTGTTTTTGTCTCTGAAAAAATGCTTAAACTCTACTGTAGAAGAAACTGCATGAGCCCTCCTTTTTGTTTTCAACGGCTCTAGTCAGGGTTTTGTGTCGGCAAACATGAACTCCTCTCTGTGTCCGTGCAGGTGTGTTTTGGGGAACACTACTATACTGGCTGAGTTCGCCAGCGAGGAGGAAATCAGCCGCTTCTTTGCACAAGGGCAGTCACTGGCCACGCCCTCCTCTGGCTGGCAGGCCATGGGTTCCTCTCAAAGCCGAATGGATCAGTCTCACCCCTTCCCCAGCCGCACCTCTGAACCCAACCAGTGGAACAGCGGCGACCTGCACAGATCCTCTCTGTGGGGCGGGCCCAACTACTCCAGTAGCCTGTGGGGGAACCCCAGCGCCACTGAGCCGGGGCGGATCAGCAGCCCCTCTCCAATCAGCTCCTTCCTCCCGGTGGACCACCTGACGGGGGGCGGGGACTCCATGTGAAGCGCCAGACGGGGAGCCGGGAGACGGGTCAGTAGAGAATAGTCAATAATCAGCTGAAGAAAACGGCAAGAAGAGTAGTTCTAAACGCAACCGCACTAGTTGGGACTCTTTCTCACTTACAAGATATTCAACAAAACGGGGGGCCGTGGTGTCTCCCCCTGTGGAATACAAGTTACGTTTCTCTTTCTGCACATATGTCCACTTTGTTTTAGCCCAAAAACATATCAGTCGGAATACTTGAATCATGCAGGCCAATTCTATAATGTGAACGGATGGATATTTGCTTCCAGGTAGTGCTCTTTCAGACCGAAAAAAGCTTCAGTCAAGTTCATTATTATTATTATTATTATATATTTTGTTTCATTCGTCATGTCATTTGAATTCCAATTCTTTTATTTTCAACATTTTTTTTTCTTCTTTTTTTTTGGCGTTTTGTTTGACAATGTTGGAGTATGAGCTTTTTTAACTTTGCACTGAATGTGGTTTTTTTCTCAGTATATATATAATCTGCAATATAGAGGGAGCAGCCAGTTTTTTCCAGTGTAGCTGTTTACTCATTGAGGTCCTTATTGTACGTGTGTGCGCGAGTACTTTGTGTGTATGTGATTGCATTGTGAATGAGTATATGTGCGCTCCTCTCTGCCTTGGCACGCCTACCTTACTGGTTGTTGTGGAGTTCAAGATCAACAGATAAGTTCAAGAATAAAGCCTGACTTAGGATGATTATCTGGTGATAGAAAGAAAGGAATAAAAAAAATAGAAAAGAATAAGTGACATTTAAAAGTATTGCACCAATTTTTGTTTTAAAACTAAAGAAAGTTGAGCTCTGCAGTGCAAAGGACTGTAGCCGCAGCTGGGACTAGCAAGCCTCTCCCGCGCTGAGAAAGTGGGCGGGGCCTATCTAGCAAGCCCTCCCGGTCGCCCCCTAGCGGGGCGGGGAGGGAACAGCACTTTCAGAATAGGCTTTCAATGTTTTTTTTTTTTGGAGGTGCCACACTGCAACCTCTTGTTTACAAGACTTAGGAGGCAGAACGTGTGTCCATTCTTCATTTTAAAGAGAAGATAAACTAAAATAAAAGTTAAAACAAAAAAAATTAAAAACTGAAAAAAAGTATATATAAAAATTATAAAAAGAAACAGAAAAAAACAAACAAAAAAACAATTGAGGATGAAGACGATGCGTTGTAACTCTGGGAATTCGGATCAGTGTTTTTTTTTTTTTTTTTTTCTGGCCATGGTGTTGGTTATTTAAAATATTCCTCTTCTTGTCTGCTAAATAACCAGCAATGGTTCTCAGGAAATTAAGCCAGTTTCTCCCTCGCCCCTTGTAGTTGAATTTAAAAACAAAAACAAACAAAAAAAAACTACTACTACTCCTCGTAGGAAAGGAAAATCCAACATCTAGCACTGAAAACTATGTAAAGGTCTTTTTTTTTTCCTTCTAATTTTTTTTTTCCTCTGCCAAATAACTGCTTTAAGGCTGGAGAAGCTCACACACTGCTTTCAAGATGCTTTTTTTTTTTGAGGGAGGAGGAGCGTTCCCGATAAAGACGGTGGGAAGGACGGAGGAGGGACTGTACATCATCCCAGCGCTCCCTCTCTTCCTCCATCCCTCCCTCCTCGTCCTCCACTCCATTGTTGTAGAAACTTTGGGGACTGTTTTTAATGTGAGTGTAAAATGTCTCGTCACTTATAGTAATAATAAAATGTAAAAAAAACCAAGAGAAAAGGCGAAATCTGTATCTATGCATACTGTAGCCTCTCGTATTCACAAGGCCTGCCGAGAGGATTTTTTTTTTTCATTTTTGTTCCCCGTCTCTCTCAAAAAACAAAGTTTGAAATGTTTCATTAAGTACGACTACATGCGTTTTTGTTTATTTTTTGTTGTTGTTGTTTTGTTCTGTCGCTTATAATCATTGCCACAACTGTGTTTTGAAAAGGTATATAACAACAAAAAGAGTTAAAAAAAATATTTGGTTGAAGATATTTTAACAGTGCAAAAGTCGTCCACATTTCATTGCCTTGATCCTAAATGTGTCCGAAGATGCAACAAGTCAAGTGGCTTCTACCTGTTTACAAATAGAATATGATTGTATTGTTGTACTGTTTTTATTTTCTTTCTTTCTTTCTTTCTTTTTTTTTTTTTTTGGTTTGTTGGTTTTCTCTTCCCATCCTCTGGGTCTGGGAAGGGTGGGGTACTCATCTGAAGTCTCTGACGTCATGAATTTGTGTGTGTGTGTGTGTGTGTGAGAAAGCTAGAGAACAGTGTGAATGTAACTGTTGGATTTCAAAAGAAATACCTGCGTGAACATTAAATTTACCTATACACCAGTGATTGTTGAGTTACTATGATGCACAATTTTTAGCGCGACAAGGCGAAAAGCTTCAGAGCACGTTGGACGAGAGATCAGCATTAGCGAAGCCATGGACCTTAATTTTCTTTCACCGTGTTATTTTCACTTTTCTCTTCCCGTGTTCAGCCTGCTAGGCGTGTGTGTTGGCGCGCACACATTAACATCCCCCCTCCAACACCGATACAGAGTTTTTATTTCAGGAGTTCTACAAACTTTTCGGCTTTAGTTGTGTGTTTTTTTTTTTTTTTTGTTAAGTTTCACCGTGAATATTTACAATAAACGACTCTAAGGCGTATGTAGTGAATAAACCTCAAGTATTAGCCAGACTTGACAGTGGTGTGTGCCAGTATTGAATGCTCTCTACCAAATAATTCAATCAAACAAAAAAAAAGGATTAGTTTACTTAATTCCACATCTCTTTGCTTAAACTATAAATATATATATATAAATATATATCTTATTTGTGTTTTTGTCTTGTTGAAGTTATCAAATGGAACATCAGAACTGTGTTTTTAGGGGTTTTTTTTCTTTGATTTTCTTTAACTTGAGTTGACAGAATGAACTGAGGAGCCTTGGATTTTGCACTTGGGCGGATTGGAGGAAACACCGGAGTCGGGTCAGGGTCGTACGGGCGGGGCGAGGATTTTGTTTAGCGACAGGGTAACTATTGTGTGTCGTGAGCTGCGGTGCTTAGGTTTTGTTTTTGTTTTTTGTTTTTGTTTTTTTCCTCGCCTCGTATTGTAGCGGAAACGGTTTAAAAAAAAAAAAAGACTCATGCTTTTCAGGCTCCGATTTGACCCATTCGGCATCTTCAGCCATGTCGCCACCGCATGGGACAGACCAGGAACTGCAGCTGCTGCTGCTGGTTTGTTGTTTTTGGGGCGGGGGGTTAAGAAGCAGGGGGGATGCTCTGACCAGGCCTTGCGATTTTGGCGGGAGATTCTCATGACTGAAAATAGCTGTTTTATTTTGTTTGTTGTTTTTTTTTGTAGCCCCTTTGTGACTCAGGCAAGAGGATGTGACTTATAAGGCTAGTTTTCAGGGACACACAGGGTTCCGCTCGCTTCCTTGCTGGCTTATCTTGAATCGTCTCTCCCGCATCCAAACCCTAACCTCAATTACAGGGGAGAAGATCCAAAAGAAAAGAAAAAGAAACTGACGTGAGAATATGGAACAAGTCGACCACAATCTGTCCATATTCCCTTTCTGCTCGTTTAAAAGGACTTTGTTCATTCTGATTTATTTGGGGGGGTGCGGGGGGTCATTTTCTTTTTAGCGATGCATTTTCCTGCGCTGATGTAAAGGTGGTTTTGTCCTGCTTTAGTATCCTTACCTTAAACGTTAGTGGGACGATCACTGAGCTCTGAGCAGCCCCGGAGGTGGCATCGCTAGCGCTGTTAGAGAAGGGACAAGCAACGTCTGTAAAACGCCTCTCAGTAATAATATTGTTTTTTTTTGGGGGGGGGGGGGGGTCTTTTTTTTGTTCCCAGCAGAATTGTGCTATCTTTCTGTCTTGTTCAATCTACTGTTGGTGTGTGTGTGTGTGTGTGTGTGTGTGTGTGTGTGTGTGTGTGTGTGTGTGTGTGTGTGAGAGAGAGAGAGAGAGAGAGAGAGAGAGAGAGAGTGAACTTATGCCAAATCGAGGAGGGAGGGTCGTTAGGGAAGGAAAGGGATTGGAATTTTTTTTTTTTTCTTTTTTTTTTAAAGCTGTATGTGTGCATATGTGTATTTAAAAAGCTGGACAATGTTAAATGCTTGAAGAAAAAAAAATACATTTGCAAAAAGATGACATGAGGAAAACCACCATGAGCAATGTACAATCCCCAAAAAGCTGCCAAGCAGCTTGACGACAGGAAAGAAGGAAAGAGATTGGCAGGAGAGGAGGGAGGGTCGCTGGTGATACTCTACTACTTTTTTTTTACATATATATATATTTAAAGTACAAATAATGTGACTTGTGTTTTTTTCTCTTAACTATCCTGTGACTAAAATGCTATATAATATCATAACACACACCCAACGGCTCCTACGGTCGATCAAAAGTGCTAAGGCTTTTTTTTTTTAAAGAAAATCAAAAACTGTGAGAATCTGCTGTCTTTTGTTTTCCACTTAGTATGACCACACATGTACAAACCCTGAAAAGCTTTAGTCTAACCAGCACAAAGATGTGGGTCGGGGGTGGGTGGGATTTTTTACTTTTTTTTTTTTTTTATTTTCCCCCTTTTCTTTCTCGGGGTCGGGTGTTTCTCAGAGACTATGCAGTGGAGTATTGAACCCAGGCTTCCACGTCCACCTTGGGTTTTCTGTTCTCTTAAATTATATGGAAAAAAAAATCCCTTTGTAGAAACGAAGCTTGAGATGGGATTCCCAATAACGTTCCTTAAACATGTGCCATCTTTGAATTGTAATGCTTCTAATAATCTTTAAAAAAAGAAAACACACACACAAAAAAAACCCTGATGAACCTTTATTACCTAGCAGGGCCAGTTGTAGCAGGAGAGGACAGGTTAAGATTTGCAAAGTCCATTTATTTTCCCAGCTTGGCCGGTGAAACTGCAAATTTTACACAACTACAATGTTTTTTATAGAGATTCTATCAGTCCACAGTGTGTAGTTGGCTCACCTTCAAACCTATTATGCACATTGCTTTGGGGAGACTGTTGAAACTATACATTATATATAAATATGAGAATATAAGCGTAATGTCTATAATCATTGAGAGGATGCCGGTCCTTTCCAGCAAACAGAACAGGAAGTACCTTTTGCTTTCATTTTCCAAATGTCTTCCTCAGCTCAAAGGATTTTATCTTAACTTCTGTGGAATCTGCACTTTTTGAAGGACAATCTTTATTTGTATGGGTATAAATTGACAAAAAAAAAAAACATTTTTAAAAAAATGTAAAAAATGAAGTCGCCTGATATTACATGGTATAGAAAACCAACTCCAGTGTGCTCTAATAATGAATGTCTCCTCTGATGCTGTCTATATGTTTGGGTTCATTTAATCTTTTTATCCTTTTTTTTTTTGTTGCTTGGTTTGTTCTGTATTTTTTTTTCCCTCTTTAATTTTCTGGATTTTAGTACTCTTAGGAGAATCTGTATTAAGGTGTAGAGTAGTAGTTAGTAGGTCTTCTGTTGGCTGTACTCGTATTACTGATTACTGTTTGTAACCCTCTGGCTCCTGCAGCCAGCATACAAAGCTGTATAACTTGGGTACAACCCTCAATAAAAGACTAACAGTGACAAAACGCTCAAGCTCACAGCGTCTTTATTTATTTTATGTTCAGTGTTTCCCAGGTATTAAGTAGACTATTCTATCCCATTGTCTAAATTGCTCCCTTTTTCCTCCAAAGTGCTTTGCTTTTCAGAGAAATCTGTACCGGGTGTTTAATACAGAACTGAATTCTTGCATACAGCAGACAAACAAATCAAATCTGTATTCGTACGCTGCGAACGAAATGAGACCGGAGCCGCGTTTACAGAACCCAACATCCTGACTTTATTGATCTATTCAAGAGAAAAATCATACATCAATTTGACAGGCTGGAACCTGAAGCAAAATGAAACTCAGGGCCGTGATAGATCCTCGTTTAATACAGCTTTTTAACATCCAAGCTCCCACTCACATGTTCGTTTTAAATACAGTGAAACACAAGACACGGCAGGCGATTGCAGACGTCGCTACGATGGACCGAAGAGCTTGAAGGAGGGGCGGGGGAGATGTCAAAGTGGGAAAAAAACTGGCGCCGATCTGCTTCTTAAGTACTTCCCATGGGGTGGGCACCTTCTGTAAGAAGGAAGTGATGTGAAAAATCAAATGAAGGTGTGCTCCAGAGAAGCGGAGAGCAGAGTGGAAGCACTTGCCTTTGAACTATCATTCATAAACATCCTTCTTGTCTGCAATGTAATGTACAATCTCCTCAGGAGTCATGAGCTTCTCCGCTTCGGCATCTGGGATCTCAAAGCCTGCAGCAGAAACGGAATAGGAAGGTCCAATAAACTGAAATCCAAAACATTATTTTTTTTAGCTCAAGAGCATCTTATGCTATAAGATGAGCCACTGAATTCTGCATGATCTTTACTTCTCAACCTGGATAACTAACCAACCGGCTCTCACCAAACTCGTCTTCCATGGCCATTATGATCTCCACCTGGTCCAAGCTGTCCAAGCCCAAGTCTTTCATGAAATGGGAGGTTGCCTGAAGCTGGAGAGTAAAACATTTATTTAGTGACTTTATCGCTGACTCCAGAAAATGTAGACACTACATTCCAAAGTTTGCTAGGCTTCTTACAGATCCAAGAAAAACTTTTTTTTTTTTTCGTCTTGTTTAGAACCAACTCACCTTTTCTGGGTTGATCTTGTCATAGAGTTTCAGTACATACAAGACACGGTCTTTGATGGTTTCAAGAGTGAGAGGGGGCAGGTCGCCATACTGTCGGCACATCAACCCCACTGATGAGATCTAAGCAAGGCCGGGAAGAAAGAGACAGGAAAGATCAACACTAAAGAAACAAATGATCTACTGATTATCAGCAAAGTCCTGGTAATAACAGGCACTTGGGAACCCAAAAATACAATCTTTTTACAATCTGGTAACATTTTTCAGTGGGGAAGTCATCACTGACAGAAGATGGCTTAAGTAAGGCTACTTTCACAATCAGCAAAATACACAAAGTTGTTATAGAAAGTATTTCAGCAGTTATTGGGCAAATGAATTGTTTTGTAATGCTAATTTCTACTATGAGAAAATTATCTTTCTTAGAGACACACAAGAAGCTCTATAGTGAAAAAAAAATAAGATGAACATAACCAAAGCTGGTAACAGTCTGCCTTTGGTGTACTTGCACTTTATGATCTAATTCCTTAAGAAACTGTCAGAAATTAGGAATAACTGCAGTGCAGAGAGGATAGAATGAAGGAGGTATTGGACTCATCTAGATCTGAGAGGAAAAGTGATGCATCTTTTAATTTAGACCAGTTACATTTTTACTCGTCTTCACCTGTAAAAAGTAGTGAAGCAAACGTGTCCGTGTGCTGCACAGCATATTTAGTAATTAACCCTAAAGACTCGAGTTTTCAATAACAAATCGATAATGATGTCTGTTTGTTGTGTAAAGTTCTTTCTGCTATTCCTTCGCAATCTTGTAAGTGTGTAAAAACACGCCTTTAGAGAGTGGTTTTCATCCGCTGTTAGAAGCATTTAACTTAATGTATGTCTGGGGTGCAGACTTGCTCCACACAAGTACAACAACACACCCCAGTAAACTTTGCTAACAGCTAGCATTACGTGCTAACAACCCACAAAACTCAGCAGTTGCGTCGTAATAGCAATTCGTTCATAAATGTGGCCCCACCACCGTGTTGAAAGATTAGTCCGCGAGCTAAAACAGAGGTCACGCATCCCATTAAACCCGCAACAGACTCTATGAGCCTGTGAGCTTTGAAAGACATCGGGTAGGTCACACGGCTAGGCCGCAGCTGTGCCCCGCGCAAGCAGCAACTCACCCTGCTCTGTTCCAGCCACCGCGTCCTCCGGCTATCTGCGACGAAGGAGAAAGGGAGGTGGACGGTGACTTCCGGGACGACAGCCGCTCTGAGCGCGAGGCTGACCGGGCAAAGCCTCAGCGAGGGCCGGGCGAGCGAGCGGACACAGTGCTGCAGGACACGGGCCGCCATGTTGTAGGAGAACCTGCTGAATCGGAGGCAAGTGAGAAGACTCCGGGTCAAGGGCTCCAATCTGCGCATGCGCGTTTAATACAAGCGGATTTTTATTTTAAAAAAATAATTTACTGTTTGTTTTTGTTTAATATTTTTATAGTTTACCGTAGAAACTTTTTAAAAGAGATATTCATACGAATAATAATTTATTAAAAAGAATAATCATGGAAGTGTCCAGGGCAGACTAATCGATCCTTGAGTGAGCATGCGCAGAACACAGGAAGTGAAAAGGGCTGAACACAGAGCTGAAAATAATAACTAGATGCTTTTATCAAATAACAATAACGTCTGTCGTTGATATTACAACTAATTACTAACCATGGAGCTGTCTGAAATATTGTACAACAAAGCGGAGTACATTGAAACGGTAACAAATGTGGCGTTTGAATCCTTTAGTAGCTAAAGTAGCGGTTCTTTTAACTAGCTGACAGCTAATGGGCGTTGGATGCAAGAAGAGGGATTTTAATACTCATGTTGTGGTTTTTACAGGCATCTGGGAACAAAGTGAGCAGGCAGTCCGTGCTGTGCGGGAGTCAGAACATCGTACTGAACGGCAAAGTGAGAAAGCAACAAGAACGCACCGAGCTAACGCTGTTGGCTGTCAAGGAGAGGAATCTGGCTTTAATGCTTTTCTTCCTGTTTGTTTTTCCTCCTTCAGACTATAGTGATGAATGACTGCATCATCAGGGGGGACCTGGCTAACGTCAGAGTGGGTAGACACTGTGTTGTGAAAAGCCGGAGTGTTATTAGACCACCTTTTAAAAAGTTCAGCAAAGGGTAAGGCATTCTAATCATGTCACATTTAATCTTTCTTCAGTTCTGTCTCAAAACGGATCCAGATGCTTTGAGTTTTGGCAAATGTCTTCATCTCTCTCTGTACATATTCAGAAAAAAAATAATAAAATAAACAACTGACCAAACTTTATTGCAGTCAGTCATTCTGCAGGCTTTTAGAGTCTTATTTGTGTGTGTTTTCATTCATTCGCCGTATCTTATCCTCATCCCTGTTTGGCTTCAGTGTGGCGTTTTTCCCACTCCACATTGGAGACCATGTCTTCATCGAGGAGGACTGTGTGGTCAACGCAGCGCAGATCGGTTCCTACGTCCACATCGGCAAGAACTGTGTGATAGTAAGTGTGTGTGTGGGGGGGGGAGAGAAATATTTGAACGAACAAACCCAAGAACGGTGAAAAGACAGCCTGTCTTGGAAAAAGAGAGAGGAAAAAAAAGTGGAACTGCCTCCCAGCTACTGTCTTCTGCAGTCACATGGTGGTCATGCTTTGAAGAGAAGAAGAAGAAGATAGCAAGCGGCACCGAAACATCAGATTAATATGTGTCTATTTGGGGGCGTGGGGGAGTGGAGGACATGCAGAGAGAATATTTATGGAAATAGAGTATAGAGAAATAATGTTTACATAAAACAAATAAAGAGACATACAGCCCCCTCTCCTCAGCGTTTAAAGTTAAATCAGACTAAGCTTCTCATTCAGGTACCAAAATTATTTCTATTTTCTAAATGCAACAATATTGGGAAAATAAACTATATAATCTTCTTTTTATATTTCTATTTTACGTTGTTTTTGTAATCCACATTTAGAAGTTGAAAGAGTGCATAGCACAGCAATTATAAGCCGTTCAGTGTCTCTTAACATTTTCCTGTATTGTAAAAGAATGTGAATCAATACGGCTTCTGGAGGCGGTGAAAGGTTTTAACTCGGAGATGTTTGTTCATTTTATTCGCTCTTGTCTTGCAGGGTCGTCGATGTGTGCTGAAGGACTGCTGCAAGATCCTTGACAACACGGTGCTTCCTCCTGAGACAGTGGTGCCACCTTTCACCGTCTTCTCCGGATGTCCAGGTCAGCAGGACACACAGCAGACTTTTGTCCTTTTTTTCCCACCAAACCTGCTTTTAATAGTCTTTTTTTCTCCTCCCTCTCTCTCTCTCTCTCTCTTCCTCTGTGGTGCTCCTCCAGGTCTGTTTTCAGGAGAGCTCCCAGAATGCACACAGGATCTCATGATTGATGTAACCAAGAGCTACTACCAGAAGTTCCTGCCTCTCAGCCAGATCTGAACCACACCGCAACACTTTAAGCCAGCCCTGCGTTCAGACGGGTGGGAGGTCCTGGAGAACTGCACTGGACTTTTCTCATCAAAACATCACACTAGGATTTTATTTAACTGCTCTTCCGAATCCTGACATTCTCCAACATGTCAGATCCAGAAACAATCTGAGTACTGATTTATTTTATACACCAATGTTTTCCTCATCTGCCACTTGTAAGTGAAGGAGAGGTCAAAACCTTATAAAATTCAGCTGGTGGATCTTCAGCAGCGTTGGCTGTATATGTAACCCTGTATCTTCCCCTTTAAAATGAAACAGTATGTGTTAGTTTGATTTTTTTCCTACTGTACCCCAGACTTTGTTGAACCCCATTTTGATTTTTTGATTTTTATTTTCATTTCATCTTGTTGAAGGTTGTGTCTGCTTTGCATTTGTCATTTAAGTTTACAGTTGTTTTAACACTCAATTATTTAAACCTGTAAATAAATGCAAATGTGTGAAATTATCTAAGCTATTAATCTTTAACAATGACAATGTTGAGTTCTATTAATTCAGAGGCCAGCTTTAGATTGCAAGGTAATCTATTAATGGAAAATATCCACTTGACATTTGGAAAAATGTCAAGTGGATATTCTCTTTTCCTTTTTCCCCCTCTCCGAGGGGGAAAAAGGAAAAGGCATTCGATATCTTGGCGCCCTCTGGTGGTTCAAAGAAGAACGTCAGGTGACCATTAGTTTTTCCGTCTGAAAATGAGGAAAAAAACGTTCTGAGATGACGTCGAACTGACGTTTACACATGGAAAACCCTGCTGCTTTGAAACGTTCCATTATATGCGTATTTCTAGAACTATATTCGCAGTTTAATATTTATCCTGGACCTTTTGTAGACTGTCAAAATAGGACTATGCCCAAGTAGAACAGCTTATACTTTTCTAGCTAAAAGCTAATTCAAACGGCCGAAACGAGATCTATTTTCTGATTGGGTGGCTACGGCCTATGGCAAGCCGTGTTAACATAAATTCGGTTTTGCCTGACTATCCGTAATTACGTTCCAGATATCTCAAATTGTTTTATGACTAGACGTTTTAGCAATTTAAGATATCTCCAATTACATTCTGACTAGTCAAAATGACGTCAGATTTACCATTGATTTGTATGGGGACTTCAATTCAAGATATCTACAATGAATTACTGATTATGTGAAATACACATTTCAGATATCTACAATTAAATTATGACTAGTCAAAATTATAATTCAAGATATCTCTAATTAGTCCATAATTCAAGATATCTTAAATGTATTTTGGATAGGAGAAATGTAGTTTTGACTAGTGGAAATTAAATTATAGATATCTTAAATGCAAATAATGACTAGACAAAACTAAATTAGAGATATCTAGAATTATAATTTTGACTAGTCAAAATTCCTTTTACGATATCTCTAAATGAATTAGAGATATCTTGAATTACTCAACTTTTCTATTTAAGATATCTTAAATCAACATCCTGACGAGTCAAAATGACATTACTGATATCTTAATTGGCATTCTGTCTAGTCAAAGCGTCACTGATTTACGTGTATGGCAATTTGAAATTTTAACAAAACAATGAAAAATAGAAAAAACGAAAAAAGATGTTTAAAAATTATTATTCTTACTAGTCAGAATGTAAAAGCAGATATCTTAAATTACCATTCCGGATAGTCAAAATGTAGTTTTGTCTAGTCAAAATGCATTTTCAGATATCTGGAACGTAATTACGGATAGTCAGACGAAATCGAATTTATGTTAAATCGGCTTGCCATAGCTGGTCATTGGTCACGTGACACTTCTCTGTCGCATTCAAACTCCGAATCTGACGTCATAGATTGACGTCAATGACCAGCAGAAGCAGAGCCTTTGAATGTTGGGCATCTGCGATCATTTGGTCACAAATCACTTCTCTTGCCTTGCAGTAAATGCTTGCAAACACAAAGCCCATTAGAGACTTAATGGGCTTTAAGATTGGTTGATCCTTTCTTCAGTTTACAAGCTATGCATGGTTCAAGAGAAATGTCGGGTCATGAAAGACTCGTTTGACCGCCGATGACAAGGCGGTCAGTGTCATGTGATTCTAGTCACATGACACATGGTGGGCTGGGAAATAAGCTTCCATACCTTTGTATGGAAGCTTATGGGAACTATAACTTATGGTACATATATATAGAGATATAGATCTATATTTATATAGATCTATATCTATATGTGTGTGTGTGTGTGTGTGTGTATGTGTGGGTGTGTGGGTGTGTGTGTGTGTGTGTGTGTGGGTGTGTGTGTGTGTGTGTGTGTGTGTGTGTCGTGCTTTCTCTGTGAACGCTGATGTTTTCTTGGGGCTCTTTAGTCCAAAGACCAAAGCCATGTGCTCTGTAAGTTTCTAACTTAAACAGTGACTGCATAAAGGTGTGCATCAAAAGGTTACAGTTTCCAAAAAATTGTAATATTTCTCATCACTCATATCTGAAATTGAACAGTAAAATTAGAATATTACATCTGATCCATAAGGACATTTCATGCCGTCAGTCCACAGAACCACAGGCTGTCTGTGATCAGCCACTTTAAACCCCCCCAAAAAACAAGAGACATAACAACAAAATGCAGTTGAGGTGGGTTTATTCGGTACCGCAGGTCACATTTGGACCGACACCAACACACAGTGAGACACAGAAGTTGCTATTTATACCTTGAGCAATTTGACCATACATGCCAAGTAAAGGAGTAATCAAAACAAATAAGACATAAACATTATTTACTAACACAAAAATAATTAATGGTGCTAGTAAATATTTATATAAATGCAAAGCATTAAAACTAAACTAATCAAATAATACATTTTACTTAGTAGTAATTTGTGCCTAATGCAGTGTATTTCTTGTTCTCCGTCTGCAGATGTATAAAAGATT